TTTCGTGGTGATTACGACACCGTCAAGAGTGGCAAACCGGTGCCACAAACCAGTCCGCTTGTCAAGTTAAACCCTACCATTGATGAAGCCGGTTTAATTCGCTCAGATGGACGCCTTAAATTCGCAGAACAGCTACCGTACGACGTACGCCATCCAGTCATACTTCCGAGAAAACACTGGATCACAAGGCTGATTGTTAAGGATTATCACGAGAAAGCTAACCACAACGTCGGAGTGAATTTCATCCTAAGTCAAATTAACGAGAAATATTGGATCATTGCAGCGAGGGAGGAGATACGTGAATGGGAGAATCAATGTAACCACTGCAAAAGACGACGCAGCAAGCCAGCTATCCAAATAATGGCACCTTTACCGAAAGTTAGATTACGTTTCACGTACCGTGCATTCGATCAGTGTGGTATCGACTTCGCTGGGCCGTTCGTTACCATCCAAGGACGCGGACGTAAGCGACAGAAAAGATGGTTATGCGTATTCACATGCTTATCCGTTCGGGCTGTGCACCTAGAAATAGCGTGGAGCTTGGACACTGATGCATTTCTAAATGCATTTGCGCGGTTTACCAGTCGGAGAGGCGTCCCGAAGGAAGTCGTCACCGACAATGGCACCAATTTTGTTGGCGCTGTGAACGAGTTAAAGGAGCTAATGAGTCAACTGGATCAGGAACGGATCAAACGGAAAACGTCAGCGCAAAGAGTGAGATGGTTATTCAACCCACCAGCTGGTCCACACTTTGGTGGGGCACACGAGATCCTAGTGAAAGCTGCCAAGAAGGCGATTTATTCAGTGTTGGGCAGTAGCGACGTCAACGACGAAGAGTTAATTACCATCTTTACTGAGGCTGAAGGATTGTTGAATTCAAGACCGTTGTCATACCAATCTGCGGACGTACGCGACATAATTCCTTTGACCCCAAACCATTTTTTGCTTGGTCAAATGGGCGGACAGTTCGCGCCAGAATCAGAGCTTAGTAAAGAATGTCATCCTCGACAGCGCTGGAGAAAAGTACAGCATTTGGTTTCTTTGGTGTGGCGGAGATGGCTCAAGGAATGTTTACCATTGTTGACGGTAAGACCGAAGTGGTCGGAAATAGTCAAAGATTTAAATGTGGGTGATGTGGTCTTGGTCATGCAACAAGGTTTATCGCGGGGAGATTGGCCGCTAGGACGGATCATTGATGTTTATCCCGGGAAGGACGGACATACAAGAGTCACGAAAGTACAATGTGGTCAAAAGACATATATTAAGCCCATACACAAGCTAATTCCGTTGGACGTGTAATATCGGACAGTTAATATTTTGACATTTAATTAAAGTTGGACATTGTTTGTTCACACTGTTGTATTAGACTTCAGTGTGGAGAGGGGGAATGTTGAGAAGCATATTATTAATGTTTAGTTTTGTTAATTTATGACATAATTAACTAGTAACGCAGTTTCCGGCCGAGAGAAAAGACTGGGTCGACAGCATGCTCTCGAGGTCTCTAGGCTCGAACAAGAAAAACTGATAGATAATCATTCGAAGATGTACACTTTTATAGCTTTTTTGGTAAAATATATTGTTCTTTATTCATAATCGGAGAGACTAGTTAACAGTCAGCAACATTAAAATATGGAATAATCTTCCGAAGGATATTAAGACAAAATCTAGCGTTAATTCTTAAGTTTGCCCTTAAAAACTATTTCTTGTAATCATATAAGGGTATCGAAAGATTTTTCGGAAATTGTCGTCAGCTCGAGCAGTTGTGGCGAATCGCATCCGGTGTGCCTGGACCTTTAGACTTTATATTCGAGCAGCTTAAATTTGGGCAAGAAATTTTCCGTGTTCGTTCTTTTTGGTTTGTTTATTAAATTAATAGAACTATTAACAATTAACGCATTAATAATGATCGTTGCCAACCTTTGACGACAAAGTCAATGTTTGAGGATCAGAGGATCTATGGCAAAATGCAGGCATTCGTGGCTGAATGCTACGTGGAACCTGAGAATATCCCGACTGAAATTGTCCAGGAGGAAGACATTTTTTATTTTTAATGTTGTCGGGACAACTTAAAAAATACGACATGTCAAATGTGTATATATGCGTTAATAAATCAACTGATTTGCATCACTAACAACGGGTGTCTCACAGGCATCGCAAAGCTTTTCGCGCGGATTATATTTCGCACAGTAGGCTACTAAACTCGCGCACCCAGCGCTGCGCGAATTCTAGGACTGCGCGAATTTTTTTTAATACAAGTAAGGTATTTTAATACAAGTAAGGAATTTTTTTTAATACAAGTAAGAATTCTTTTTAATACAAGTAAGGTATATGAAATTGTTATTAAACTAAACTCTAATGATTCATTCAAGAGTTATCATTGTTGATATGTATGACATTGTACATGCAGTATTCAGTGGCAAGCTAGCCATGGCAACTGGTCATGCTTTGCTAATAAACCTGCAAATCATTAAAAACTTGCATAGCATCATGACTTGTTGCTATGACTAACTTCACCACTGACAGTATTATAATTATACATACAATACAAAGCATTGAAGGTATTCATATAAAACCCCCCATGCCAAGAAAGTAGAATTAGAATATTTAACTGACATTCGACTTTGTGCAAGGTGTTTGATATTCAAATTGCAATTTTCGGTCTTTCCCTGTATCCTGAACAGGCGTATTAGCAATCTCGTACCCAGAGTATGCCCGTTCGCAAGTTAGGTCATGCCCAGCACCTAACCTGCGAACGGGCATACTCTGGGCTGTTTACATGATGGAAGGTGGGATGATTTTGATGTATTGAAATAGGTCACCAGGCTAAACGAAAGTTCAAAAGCTGGTTAACCGAACTCAAATGTTGTAGAGAAGATCATGTAGTTTAAGAAAATTTCTATAATCCATCTCTAGAAAATGAAGTTTTTTGCTGAATCATGCATCGTGACTTATTTCAATATATCGAAATCGTCCCGCCTCATATCTCGTCCTGGCAAAGCGGGATCATATAAACAGTCCCTTATTCAGCAAATTGCGCATGCTCCCTTGCCCTTGATCCCTTGGGGGTGAGGCAGCACTTTCCTTGCGATAGTAACTTTTGGTTTATATATATATTCATATCACACTTGCGTCGGTTTTCTTTGTTCGTCCGAGGTTTATAACTAGCTTATAGACCTTGAATAAATGATTGGATTAAACTTGTAGACAAAACGCGAGAATTTTTCATTAAAAATTTTTGAAAATGACAAAATATGTTGGAAAACCTCCGCAAGTGTGATATAAGTTAGTCATAAACCGAGTAAGTCGGTTTATAACTGATATATTGCCGATTTGCCCCGAGGACGCGTCAATATATCAGTTATAAACCTCCTACTCGGTTTATAACTCTTACATATATATATATATTAATATATATATGAGAATTTAAAGATCTTTTATATATTTTTCTTACTCTAAGTAGCTTTTAGCGTTTTAGACGTTTTAACGTAGAATTAATAACTTTGTTTATATTGTGATGAGGGCCACAGGTTTTTCAGTTAGGCCTCCTTCGCAATCTGATCAGAGCTATATTGAATCTATTATTTCCACCTGCTCTGAAAACGTTGCGCATGCAAGGACAACGAAACGTCAGTTGTCTATAAATACAGCTATAAGCGATCAATACTTTTGTCAAAACGCCGTTGGTGTTCACATGAAGTATTTATATCTCCCCTGGTGAGACGAGTTCACAATGCCTTAAGTAATTAGCGCTTGCAAAACTCGCACGCAACATAAATTTTCTTATTTTTCTTGATTTCTTTGCCAGAAAAGCATTTTACTTGATGCTTATTTATAAAGCAAACGTAAAACTAAATAAAAGTCGTCAAATTAAACGGCAAAGTTCGAAATTTCATTTTGCATGCATGACTTCATCGCGGTATGTGGGTATTCATTTGCTGGGAAATTTTAATCCCGCCTACACAGTATACCTTTGGTTTCGGCTTACCGGCAAAAATCTCAGCAACCTGTTTGGCCCCTTTTCATGATATAAACACAATGAAAAATCTTCTGGTAAAAATAACTAGGAGACGAGAAGATTGTGTCTATCTTTTCTAAGCTGTCGCGATCGGACAAGGTTGGACAAAAATCATAAAGTCAAACCTGACTCAACATCCGACTTTAATTTATACACCGTCCCTGCGGGGCAAGTTTCGAGTATCGTTTTATCACATCTGCGCTTAATATGCCAGTTGTACTGAAATTTGTTCATACATATTATCATATACTGCATGCAGCAGTGATCATGTATTATTATTACAGCAAATGGTTTCTTAGATATTTAATTTCTTTGAGCATACAAAATGAAATAATACTTGTACGTGCATGTACCGCCAATTCATTTCGCAAAACTCCCGATGGTACGCTGGTTACCAGAGGCTTTCTGGCGACCAAAACCATAGCCCAAGATCTTGCAATGACGAAAATTTGGGATAAGAAATCGACGTTTGTGAATTAGATAATAGAGCATTACCACAAGACAAAACAGTAATACAATATATTTATGACTATGCATGCATCTGTTTCCGGAATGAATGAAATTCATGATCATTATATATTCATGATGAGTTCAAGTACCAATTCATTTGGTACATTGTTTGTCGAAGTGATGGAACTCGTCAAGTGTCTGCTCCTCGTAATAATTTTCAACTATGTCTCAACCGAGCCCTCATCGCATTCTGACCAGCATGAAGATGCTTTTCACAGTATTTTGGAAACACTGAAGTTAAACGACACGTTACGATTACAAGATGTGAACGTTATTCTAACGAGGCTTGGAATACATGATTGCTCAAACGCTACCAAACATAAGGTACAAACATGTATAGTGCATAGCAAAAAATTTTTAACTCTGTATGCATTAAAAGTGTGTAACTTCAGCACTAATATTTTCGCAGTCCTTATACGATATGTCAGCTCTGAGATAAGAGTTTCATGACAAAGCAGTTGTGTAATTCAGGTGAGGGTATTATTCTGGTATTTTAGGGTTGATACATGTCGCTCAGTGGCCCGATTAACCCTGTTTAAGCGAGTGGCCTGCTTTAATGCGAGTTGCCTGCTTTAATGCGAGTGGCCTGCTTGCCTTTATAATTTCGATTACATGAGGATCGAGCTGACCCACTTTGCCGGGGTCGTTCGGCCACAATCCGAGACAACTCATTTAGCCGAGTTGAAAATTTCGCATTTTCCCCAGCAAAGCGAATTTGGAAATTACACACATGCACGGTTTAATTTTAATTTCAAAATGTAAAGAAATCAGTAAGTTAAAAGTAGCATCAAAATGTTATTTTTGTGACGCAGTTAAAATTGAACTGTTCGCCATTTTCGATCTTAATTAATTAATTAGCTTAGTTTAGCTATGCTTTTCCAAACGTGACAAAAATATCAAGTCGTTAGTTTTATATATCAAGTCATTCGTGTTATATATCAAGTCATCAGTTATAGGGCTAAATTGTACAATACCCGTCCACTAGTCATTTTTCAATGCGTAGCTACATTTCCAGTGGCTACGCAGTCACGCGCTATCTAACCTGCGTATCAGGCCGTACTTTTTAGGGCACAGGCACGCCTGATCGCGGGCGAAGGGGAGAAAAGTACGGCCTGACACAAAAGCGGCATTTTGCCTGGTTATTCAGTCCAGAATCTGGACTGAGCGCTGATTGGCCGATTAGACAAACGATTTTTGTATCTGCGCGTAGCGCAGATATATTGCTATCGCGTCAGTCAGTACCCTGGTTGCCAGAGGTTCTGTATCTTTCGCCTTATTTGCTTGCATGACTTCATCGCGGTATGTGGGGTATTCATTTGCTGGGAAATTTTAATCCCGCCTACACACAGTATACCTTTGGTTTCGGCTTACCGGCAAAAATCTCAGCAACCTGTTTGGCCCCTTTTCATGATATAAACACAATGAAAAATCTTCTGGTAAAAATAACTAGGAGACGAAAAGATTGTGTCTATCTTTTCTAAGCTGGCCCATTCATATCTTTCCAACTGAACGTAGCCCAGTATTGTCCTGGTTACCAGAGGCTCAGTTCTGGTGACCATAACCATAGGCCAAGATCTTGCAATGACGAAAATTTGGGATAAGAAATCGAGGTTTGTGAATTAGATAATAGAGCATTAATACCACAAGACAAAACAGTAATACAATTTAAAAAACTCATTAATAATTCTCAAAATTCCTGTGGTATGGTATTAATGCTCTATTATCTAATTCACAAACCTCAAAGAAAAATCACAAAGAAAACACAAAGAAAAATCATAAGCGTGTCGTATCTGTATATGTGATACAGATTCATGTTGATTTACATAAACTTTAACTTTGATTTTCTCGGCTTAGACAACGTTTATTTTTAAAATTACTTCGCCAATGAACTCATAAGATGAGTCGTTTTTTAAGTTGTTTACAACATTCGCGTCCGTGTTGTATCAGATATACAAACTCTCGCCTTCGGCTCGAGTTTGTATATCTGATACAACACGGCCGCTCATGTTGTAAACATTACATATTTATGACCATGCATGCATCTGTTTCCGGAATGAATGAAATTCATTATATATTCATAATGAGTTCAAGTACCACTATTCATTTGGTACATTGTTTGTCGAAGTGATGGACCTCGTCAAGTGTCTACTCCTCGTAATAATTCTCAACTATGTTTCAACCGAATCATCATCGCATTCTGACCAGCATGAAGATGCTTTTCACAGTATTTTGGAAACACTGAAGTTAAACGACACGTTACGACTACAAGATGTGAACGTTATTCTAACGAGGCTTGGAATACATGATTGCTCAAACGCTACCAAACATAAGGTACAAACATGTATAGTGCATAGCAAAACTCTGTATGCATTAAAAGTGTGTAACTTCAGCACTAATGTAATAGTTTTCGCAGTCCTTACGATATGTCAGCTCTGAGATAAGAGTTTCATGACAAAGCAGTTGTGTAACTCAGGTGAGGGTATTATTCTGGTATTTTAGGGTTGATATGTCGCTCAGTGGCCCGGTTAACCCTGTTTAAGCGAGTGGCCTGCTTTAATGCGAGTTACTTGCTTTAATGCGAGTGGTCTGCCTGCCTTTATAATTTCGATTACATGAGGATTGAGCTGACCCACTTTGCCGGGGTCCCTCGGCCACATTCCGAGACAACTCATTTAGCCGAGTTGACAATTTCGCATTTTTCCCAGCAAAGCGAATTGGGAAATTACACACATGCACGGTTTTAATTTTCAAAATCTGAGCAGTGAGCGAAACAGGACGTATCTTGAGCCGCTCCTTGAAATTTGAAATTTTTTGAGATATTTTCGAACTATTCGTTCTGAAATGGCGACTGCTAAACTCCGTAAAGAAAACCAACAGCTACGAGAGGAAATTGAAGAACTTCAAGGAAATTTGAAGCAAATAACCGCGGATATTTCGAAAAAGAACGAAATCCTGATTGAACAAGATGGCAGACATGCTTCCCAGTCAACCAAGTCAACAGATAAAGATAAGTCCTTAGAGTTTATTAGTGCATGCTCAAAATGACGATCTTATTTTGTTTAAAAATAATACAATGAAGGAATTAAAACATATAAATCAACAAGTTAATATTATTTCAAAGAAATGCGAGGTCATTGCAAACGCCGTTGAGCAAATTGAAGATTATAGTTACCAATACAATATTAAAATTACTGGTATGCCTCAACAAAACCCGAATGAATCGGACGAAGAAACTACGAGTATGTGCCTGAAATTATTTACTGCCATAGGGGCAGATGTCTCGATCTACGATGTGGACATTGTCCATCGTGTTCCTGCGAGAAGGCAATCTAACCGATCGAACGCAATTATCTGTAAATTTGTACGCCGTTTGGCGAAAGAAAAAGTAATTGCAGCCAGAAAACAAACTAGTAATGTTCAACCTGAGCAACTTTATCTACCATCGACCACGAAATTAGACAGCCTTCAGATCTACCAACATTTAACCCCACGCCTGCAAGAGCTGCTGTTTGAAGCCAACAAGTATAAGCGGGCAAATAATTTTAAGTTCTGCTGGGTCAAGAATAAAATCGTTTGCCTACGAAAGTCCGAAAACGAACAGATTATCAAGCTAACCAAACTACAGGACCTTACTATGTTAAATTAGGATAATAAGTTTGTGTGTTTTCTTTGTTGTTTTGTAATATTAATTAATGGCTAATATTGTCTCATCTATGGAGGCTTTTCCTCTACCATTTAGCCATCTAGATGATGTAGCTTTTAATGCGGCCATATACGAATTATCTCATGGCCCATTGCACTTTGATTTAGGTCGCTTAGAATGTCTAGTATTTAATCCTATTGAACATTCAGCTTTGGCCATGGACTGCCTTACAATGTCAAATGTTGACCCAGATTTAAATGTTCAAGCTTTGTTGCCACCGACCAGTAGTAGGTATATGGTTGAAAATGATATTAGCGATTTAATAAACGAGTCAATGGATGATATGGGTTTTTCATTGTTGCACCTAAATTGTCGTAGCCTTATTGGCAATTTTGATAAGTTTAAAGTCTTGACCAGAAATTTGCGTAAATCGTTTTCTATTATCGGAGTATCTGAAACTTGGCTGAATGATGAAACTTCTGATTTAGTAAATTTTTCAGGTTATAATTTCATTTCAAATCATCGCCTGAGTAAAGTAGGTGGCGGAGTTGGACTTTATCTAGAAAATCATTTTCAATACAAATTGATTCAAGAATGCACAATTTCTAATCCTGAAGTAATTGAGTCTTTGTTCCTTGAAATTGCTAACCCTAATGGGAAAAACATTATTGTCGGCAGGGGCGTAGGAAGCGGGGGGGCACGGGGGGCACGTGCCCCCCCCAAATTTTTTTAAAGGACTAAAAGTGCCCTTTTTTGTGATAAAAAGTGCCCTTTTTGTGTTGAAAAGTGCCCTTTTTTGTGAGGAAAAGTGCCCCTTTTGTAGAAGCTAATGCCGCTGTAAATACTAAATTAAAACAATAGGTGCCGTTTTTGTGTGGAAATTTACAAATTTTTTTTAAAAATTAGGTCACAAACATAAATTTCGGTATGATACGACGGAAAATTTTCCTCAGGAGAAATTTCTCCCCCCCCGCCCCCCTCGTCGACAACATTTCCGGGAAAAAATTTTTAGGTGCCCTTTCCGATAGTAATGTGCCCCTACAAGCCGGTGCCCCCCCAAACTCCAGGTGCTTCCTACGCCCCTGATTATGGTTATGCATAAACAGCTACGAATTAAACATGCTTAATTTAAATTACGAAATTACGTGATCTAATTTCTTCAAGTTTGCAAGACCAGAACAACACATAGCGCCTGAGTACGAGGCTGGTTTGATACGCTATTCGGTGTCACGCATGTAAACATGTATTCTTTCAGTCATTGCACGATCAAAGTGTTTAGAATTTTTTAAAGCATAGTTCATAGTGTAAATACCATAGACGGATTTTTATATTTTTTTTTACTGGGGTGGTGCCAGAAATTTTAGGGGAGTGAGCCATGAGCAGATGACTGAAGCAACACAAAGTGTCACCAAACCCCAGTAAGGTCTATTTTCTAGGGGTGGAGAACTAGAGCCGCGACGGGGGGGGGGGGGAGCAGAAAACAAAGTATCCCAGGAAAAAATTGAAAAAAATCATGATTTCTAGCTTCGAAAAAAAGTTTTTTGAAGTTGTCATATCAATGGATTTGGCATGTCCGATTATCTGTTGAGACTTGAGAGAGTTAAAGTTAAATGAACCTGTAAAACTGTAAACCAAATAGGCCAATACACAATATGCTTTTACTTATATAAAGTCATTGACA